AAAAATTTACTGTGTAAATAAAGTAAAATTTACTGTGTGTAAATAAAGTAAAATTTACTGTGTGTAAATAAAGTAAAATTTACTGTGTAAATAAAGTAAAATTTACTGTGTAAATAAAGTAAAATTTACTGTATAAATAAAGTAAAATTTACTGTGTGTAAATAAAGTAAAATTTACTGTGTGTAAATAAAGTAAAATTTACTGTGCAAATAAAGTAAAATTTACTGTGTAAATAAAGTAAAGATTACTTAATGTGAAGAAAGTAAAGTTTGCTGTGTGTAAATAAAGTACAGTTTGTGTTTTTGTACCTGTTCTTGTTGCTGGAGATCCAGTCAGAGATGTAGGCGACGGCTTGCCGGTGACACTGTTTGTTTCCAAAGCTGCAGGCCAACATGATGAGCTCCCTCTGCAGCTCTCTGCACAACAACAACAACAACAACAACACAACATTCACACAGTTTTACATCTGATCTGTTCAAAGGAGCAAGTTTTTAACAAACAGATAGTGTGTGGACACCACAAAGACCAGGACCTGATCCAGAGTCTGTCTCAGGTCTGTCAGAACAGCTGAAGATATTAAAGCTGATCTGATGTGTGTGATGAGACAACATGTCASATTTACTGTGGATTTGTTCTGATCCACACAAACTGTGTTGAAGGTTCTACTTAACCTGACAGAACTCATCTGGACCCCTGAAACAGAAAGAAACCACCCAAGATTCAGTCCGAGCTGCTCAAAAGAGCGTTATCGCAGATCCTTCCTCCCAGCAGCTGTCAGACTCTATAACCAGCACCACGCCCAAAAAACACAACAAGTGTTAATAAAAAACACAACAAGTGTTAATAAAAACACAAGTGTTAGTAAAAAACACAACAAGTGTTAATAAAAAACACGTGTTAATAAAAAACACAAGTGTTAATAAAAACACAACAAGTGTTAATAAAAACACAAGTGTTAGTAAAAAACACAACAAGCGTTAATAAAAAACACAAGTGTTAATAAAAACACAAGTGTTAATAAAAACACAAGTGTTAATAAAAAACACAAGTGTTAATAAAAACACAAGTGTTAATAAAAAACACAAGTGTTAATAAAAACACAAGTGTTA